CTATTTAAACCGCAGAAATGTCGTTTTGTTTCCTCTTGCCCTTTTTTCTCACCAGAATTCTGGGTAGTTGAGATAATCAAATAAGTGATACTTGGGATGTTACTCGTTTTACATTTTACCTTCCACAACCTTAGACTACTCTTTGCTGTGTTTGGTTTCTTGATATCCATTTTAACGTGCCTGTAGACAAGAAAGGGAGAGCGCTAGGTCAATGTTGAAATCTAGTAATGGATCAGATCTGACTGGGAACTAATCATCCAGAGTGTGTTCCTTACTTATGTCCATGCATAAGTACTTTGTATATTTTTCTTCAACCTGATCATAAGTTCACATATGTCCTCATAAAATAATATTGTTTCTTTTTGGGACCAGCAGATGGCGTAATGGTTATGTTGCTATAGTCAACTGTGGTTCGTGGTCCTGACCCAGCGTCTTAAAACTCAAAACTCATGCTGGGCATATGTGTGTGCGTGCCCAAAATCCCAAGAGTAGAATGAAGGAGAAGGGATTGAGGCATGGCCATCCCCCCCCTGGGGAGTGTGATTTCTTGCTCCCTGTCTTTCCAGCTAGTGTCCTATCCAAAAATCTCTCTCTTAAAAGAAGAAGAAGAAAAATATTGTTTCTTTTAGTTGCCAGAGGTGCATGTGCTCACCAGAGAGATACAGACAGACAGACAGACAGAGAGTGAGGAAGAAAGAATCCCCCGTTGGGACATAGTCACACCATAGTACTATCTCCTCTGTTTTTTTCCACCCTGTCAGGACTCTAGGCATGCATGCACACATGTCTGATGTGTTTTTCAAGCTGCGAGGGCCAAGATTCAAACTATGGCTGCCACTTGGATCTAACTCTCTTAACCAGTAAGCTGTGGAGCCAGTCCTAGAATAATATTCTTTACATAGTAATATTTCAATCCATATTGTTGATAACTAACATCTCTGGGAAGAACCAGCTCAGGCCAAAGTGTTACTTAAATTAAAAGGTTGTACAACCACAAAAATGAACTTTAATACAGAAAGATACATTGCTAGATACTTGTATACAGGAAGTGGATTTATTACTGAGTTAACCGTTTACAAAACGATTGCCTGGTCAAAAAATTACCCAGAAGTGGGAACCAGCACTTAGCGTAGTGGCTATGTCGCTAGACTCCCACGTAGTTGACCGCGGTTTGCGTCCCAGACCCAGTGGCTTAGAACTCACGCCGGGCGTGTGTGCGTGAGTGCCCAAGATCCCGAGAGGAGAATGGAGGAGAAGGGATTGCGGTGTGGCCATCCCCCCTGGGGGGTGATTTCTCACTTTCTGTCTCTATGTCTCCCTCTGTCTGTCTGGCGAGCGCACGCGCCCTATAGCGAAAATCTCTCTCTCAAAAAAAAAAATTACTTTGAACTGAGAATTGAATGATAAACCATAGGCCCTAAGATGTATGCACCCTCTGAAGGCTACTTTACGCTATTCATACAAAGGGTGTAGCTGGAATCCCAGTGGTTTTGAAAACTGATAGTTCCTGATGAAACTCTTCAGGGCTCACTTGATAATATTGAGGAGAAGAGTGGGTATTAGCTTGCATTCTCCTAGGCTTATGAAATTCCCTCTTGGTGCATGAGTGTCCGCCAAAGTCCAAATTTTTATCAGCCATGCAGATGACAGGTTACATGAAGAAAAAGTTTTCTGGTGAGGTAAGGTAAAACCATGCCAATATACAAGCTAACACAAACTTATTCTGTATCCTGAATGTCAAAATTGCTGAATATGCACTATCAAGAGGATTTTCTAAAAATACACTAAAATTATATATGTGTGTGTGTGTGTGTGTGTGTGTGTGTGTGTGTATTTAGTTATTTGTCCAATCATATCTTGTCAAGTTTCATGACACAAGGCAGAATCAAAGCTTAGCATCATTTCTCGCAATGGGTAGAAAGTGATAAATGGGACTAAAGGGAAGGCAAAAGAAAGGAGTTTGAAGGACAGAAAAGCACATTATCTTCCCTGGACCTCCCCTGTCTCGAGGACGGAAAATGACTTGGCAGGCGCCCTTCTTGTGCAGGCCAGAAGGGAATTGGTTTCCCAGCTGTTCTGCCGTATTTTCCTTGTTAGGCTTTGCTCCCATGGTCTAAAAGCAAATACCGGATCTCGGCGCCTACGGTACTGGTCAAGGGCTGCCGCTTCACTCCTGTGTGACTCACGGAGACCACAAACCACCTACTGTAACAGCTGGCCCGGCCACAGCCAGCACGACTTAACTGGGCCTTGCTGGCTTGGTTCTTGACCTGATGTCACTGTCACCTTTATGAGATAGTGAAGGTGGAGTGTAGACATAGGCACTTTTATTCATTTTTCTTCAATTATATTTTCTAAAAGTTTATTTTTTAATCTCTTCCAGAAGTGAGAGACAGAGAGAGAATGAGGAAGAGAAGGGGGAGAGAGAGAAAGAAAAGGGAGATATAAATAGAGAGATAGCACCTCCAGCAGAGTCTTGATGCTGCAGTTCACCCCCAGCCCAGCCAGCCCTGGATCAGATCATGAGCAGGCAAAGCCCGGCTACAGGAAGTCTCTCAGTACAAACCCAGAACCTTCCCATGTGGGTCAGCCTGACAGAGTGTCCTGTTTTATTGCTGCACCACCAACCAGCCCTACTAAATTGTTTTTCTCAGTTGCTACTAAAACATGCTGGAAGGCATGTTTGTTTGTTTGTTTGTTTGTTTATATTTTTTATTTGCCAGAGGGTGCACACATTCACTGGAGAAATAGGGGTGAGGTGGGGAAGAGAGGAAGCACCCCTGTGGGGGATGGCCACGCTGCAATCCCTTCTCCGTCTCTCCTTTCAGGATTTTGGGCACACTGATTTTCTAGCACCAGGTCTGGGATTCAAACTGTGTAGTGGGCCACGTGGGATCTAACCTAACCACCCTAACCACCACGCCACCAGCTGGCCTGGAAGACATAGTTAATCTCAACTCCAAATTTAGGATTTTAGGAGCCAAGGCAATTGAACGTGTGATTGTTTAAAATTCTGCTACATATATTTGGTGTGTAACGATTCATTCCTCGAAGAATTAAAGTCGACGGTTAATTTGAGGTTTAGTTATTATTT